CTTTCCACAGTTGGTGGTTACTGCAGGTGACAGGGTGCCCTGGCTGCCTAGTGCAGTTAGCTGGGTCTGCCTCTGGACTCCGACATCTATTTGCATCAATAGATGTGGTGGGGGTTTGTTTAGGAGCTGAAGAGCAGAGAGGGAGTCTGTTGTCAGGGAAGCATCCATGGGGGCTTTGGGTGAATGGGATTCCAGAGAGGATGAGGAAGGCCTGAAGCTGAGGAGGCTGTTTTCCTTCAGTGTTCTGCTCTCTAAGTCAGGCACCACTCTAGGGTCTGGGGGCTCCAATTGTGGACATGGCTGGCCCTGCTTTGGGGAGCTGGCAGCTAGAGGGGGAGGTGGGTGACCTGGAGCTGGAGAGACCTGAGTTCTAGTCTCAGGTTAGTCTCAGCACTGCAGCTTCTGAGCTCAGTGACCTTTCTCTATCTCAGTTTGGTCATCTCTACAGTGGGGTTAGCAATACTACTCGCCTCGGAGTTGTGATAAGTGCTGAGATAGGAGCACAGGGGAGTTGGGCACAGATAAGAGAAGAGCTGCCTCATGGGGTCTTGGAGGGCTAGGTGGTGTCCTGGAGGAAGTGGCATCCAAGCTGAGGCCTGTAAGAAGAGATAGGGTTGCTTACCTGGCAAAACTAGCAGAGAATCGGCTTCCAGTGGAGGCATCAGATCTTTGAGGGCCTGAGGTCCTTGAAGCTGGAGTGGTCAGCAGGAAGGGAACTTGAAGGTGGTGACTTGGCTCTGGGCTGGGCCACTTTTTAGGATTTGGGTATCCAACCAAGATGTGTAGCATTCTCTCCACCTGCTATCACAGTCCACAGCCTGTGGAGGCATGGAGGGTGGAGAAGAGATGGTGTAGAGGGTGCTGCACTGGAGGAGAGGTCTTTGGAGGGGAGCTTGAGGGAACTTGGTACAGAGCAACCTCCCATGAGTCTGGGCGTGCCCTGAGACAGCTGGGGCTGCAGACAGGCATGAGCCCCAGGGGTCAGCAGAATGTCTGTATGTTGGGTTTTGTTCTTCCTGCTGGGCACAGCTGGCTGTGTTCCTGCTTCACTTACTGAATCAGCCAGTCCGGCATCAAGCATTTATTAAGTGCCTGCCATGTGCCAGGCGCTGTTCTAGACACAGAGATACAGAGTTGGCAACACAGTCCACGATCTTGCTCTCCTGGGGCCTACTTCCCAAGAGCGGGGGCGAGGCAGCAGTTTTAGATGGAGTTTTCTGGGAGAAGCAAGCCACGCGATTGATTCTCTTGGGGACTTGTCCTGAGCAGTGACCCCCAGGTGGGCCTGTGTGTGTTTGGGCTTGGGGGAACTGGAAAGTGGAAGGAGCTGAGGTCACTGAGGCATCAGGAGGCCAATTTGTGTAGGCTCTGGGAGCAAGAGAGTGACATGCTGTCACCCTGGCTGCCATTGGAAAAGAAGACTCCTGGGAGGAAGGTGGGAACCCTTCCTTGATGTGGCCTTGAACCCCAGCCCTGCTTCTGGTAGCCAGAGGATGCCTGAACAGGTACCTCAGCCTTTGAATGCTTCCCTTTCCTCTCCTGCAAAACCGCAAAGGCCACCATGAGAACTAGGTGAGACCACAGCAGTCCCTCGCTGGCGGGCTGCATGGTGTGCTCAGCAGGGCGCATCGTAATTAGCGTGATGAGCATGAAAGCTGTGAGGGCAAATCCCAGGCAGAGTACGCACTGCCTTTCATGCTCCCCTGCAAATCAAAAGTGTTCTGCTCTCTGCCCTCAGCCCTGAGGCCTACATGTCACCTCCCATTCTTCTCAGGCACCCTTATGTCACTGTGGCTGGGAGTCCCGTGAGGGCAGGTGGCACCTAAAGCCTTTCTACAGCAGGAAGCAGATGGTCAGGGGCTGCAGGTTTCCTCTGCTTCTGACAGGCTGCCAAGGCCAATGTCCTGATGCCCTGGTCTGATGAGGAGGAACGGGTACCTGCCTTGAGGACACTGAGGAGGGGCCCCCAGGCCAACACGGGGAAGGGAAGCTGAAGAGAAGTGATTCTCAGGTTGCTGGTGGTAGTGAGACAAGGGGACTGGTGATCCAGGCATCAAGCACATTTTCATGTCTTTGAAATACCAGCATAATAAGAGAAGCAAGGTGGGTGAGAGGGACTGAAGAATCAGAGCAGCCAGACTGGAGCTGGAGCAAGGTGGGGGCAGACCAGATCACAAAGCCTGGACTGAGAGGGTGAGACAGGAGGGTGGGGGAGCTGTGGGCAGGTTGCAGCAGACAGGGAGGGGCCATGGGCTCCTGGTCAAGGAGGGTGGCAGTGAGGATGGAGGGAGGAGGGAGAGGAGAGGTCCCTTGGGCAACATCTGAGGGAAGGCTTCTTGGGAGAGAGATTGCCAATGAGGAAGGTTGGGGATCACTATTGTCCAAGGTTTTGAATGTCACACCAAAGGGTCAGGGCTTTTTCCTGTAGATGTGGGAAGCCCAGCATGGTTTTGAGCACACGACACTCAATCAGAACGATATTTAACTGCAAGCTCTTTCTGGCATCACTCACAGTTCAGGCAAGTGTCCATGTGACACTGGCAGTCAGTGGACAGAGTGCCAGTGGCTGTCCTTGCCCTCTTCTCTTCTAACCTATGTGGCCTCAGCCCAACCAGCTTCACTCAATGGGAAGATTTGAGCAGAACTGGGAAGGTAGCTGTGGGGTTGAGAAGGTTCAGGGCCAGCCCCTTCCCCTCTGCATCCTGAGCCTGCAAGGCTGTTGCCCAGGGCAACTGCCTCAGCCCTTCCTCTGCCTGGCTTTGGGTGCCACATGCTCCTGGCTTCCAGGCCACTCACTGGACACCTCTCTGGGTCTGCCTCTGAGATAGTGTTATCTCAGCAAGCAAGCGGTCTTGGTGCAGGGAAGGCACTCTGTGGGACCACACTATTCTACCCTCTGGGAGTCCCTCCTTCACCCTGCCCTGTACCTCCACTGCCCACTGCCCTGCCCAACCAGCCATTGTCGATTGTTAAAAAAGATGACTTTGACTTAATGATTTTTGAACCACTTACCATGTGCTAGATCCCAGGCTAAGCATGTTATATGCATAATCTCATTTAATCTTCAGAGTTATGGAGTGGGTTCTCTTGTTATACCCATTTTACAGATGAGAATACTGAAGCTCAGATAGGTCACCTAACTTGACTGTGGTTTCATACACAACCAGGAACTGTACATTTGGGATTTTTAATGCAGGCAGACAGAAGACAAGTTTCGTGTTTTGAACTTGTCACTCTACTTTCACCTTCTGGTCTCTGGGCTCTCGCAGCAGCTCTTTGCCCATTTCATCATCCGTAATGGGGTTGTACGATGCAGTCTCCCCTAGGTGCTCTCTGGGGAATGCCACCCATCTCTGGAAGTGAGGGATGCTGGTGGCTACAGCTGGGTGGGAATCCCAGCTCCGGGGCTCACCTGCTGGTTGTGATACTGTAACCCTGCCAATCCTCAGTTTCCTTATCTGCAAAATGTTAGTTATGGGGAGGAACGGGGATAGAGGTAAAGCACCAGGCAGGTGGCGCAGTGCCAGGCACCCGGAAAGGACCCAGTGACAGTGCTCCTTGGATTCCTATTACTGCCCTGGTTTGCCAAGACAGGGTGGTGGCACCGCGGACCCAGGTGCTGCCTGGCCAGGCCCAAACACGTGCCAGCGGCGCGTGTGTGTGGAGGATCCGGGGACAGGGAGTATGAATCATTCACCGCTGAAGCCTTGCATTATTAATATCGTTATTCTCAGACTTCTAAGGAGGGCCCGGCTGGATCCCATATATGGAAGGTTCGACTCAGCCTCCGCGGCAAGCACCTCCCTGGGTCCAGAGTTGCCATGGAGTCCCGCAGGCGGCCTGGAGGCGGAGGCCCGCCGCGGTGACCCGGCCCCGGCCCCTTCGCAGGTCCTAGGTCTGCAGCCTGGGTCCTGCCCGCGCCGGCGTCCACCCAGCCCGCCTTTGCGCCGGTCCTGGGCCGCTTCCCTGGGATCCTGGGGACAGACAGAGCTGCTGAGGACTGGCGCGGGCGTCCTCGGGAGAGCGCGGGCGCGCTAGGCTTGCTGAAGGGCTCCAGGCCCGGCCCCCTGGTGCCTTCCAAGGAGCGGACACGCCGCGGTGCCCCGAGAGAGCCTGAAATCAGCCCCCGCCGCGCAGCCCCGGGCGCGCCACCACCCCCGCCGCGGCCGACAGCGGGGCGACAGCTCGGTCCCGAAGCTCGGAGAGGAGAGATCGGGCCTCGGCGGGCCGCTCTAGACGGGCGGGGCGCGCAGCTCCAGGGCCGGGCCGTTCAACGCGCCCGCCTCCCGCCGCCTTCCCCGGCAGGCCCAGGCTCGGCGGGGCGGGGCGCAGGGCGGGCCTGGGCGGGGCCCGGGGAGGAGCCGTGGCTGCGGCGGTGGCCGCGTCAGAGCGGCGTTCCCGCTGCCCGGCGGTTCAGACCCGGCCCGAGCGCCGCCGCGGACGCGGACAGAGACCCCCACGGGCACGGGCACGGGTGCTACGCTGGAGGCTCCCCTCGCAGCCGGGGCTGCGCGACTATGGCGGACAAGGATGCCGGCGGCAGCGACGGACCCCGAGGTGAGCGCAGGTTGCGGGTCCTGCGGCCGCGGCTGGCGGGGCAGAGAGGGAGGAGGCGCGCTCTGCCCCGCGTCCCGCACCCCCTCGCGCGCCGTGGAAAAGTGGGGACGCCCGCGCTGCACCCAGTTCTGGAAGGCTGGCTGGGGTCTGCCGCGGCGATGCCGGGGGCCGGGGGACCCGAGCGCCCCGCGGATCACATGCTCTGCGCCCCTCCAGGGTGGGGACTCCGCGGAGGGGACTGCAGCCCCCGCTGGGGCGCCTAGCGGGTCCCTGCCTGGGGTGGCGCCTCCTGCGGTGCCGGGAGCGCGTGCGGGTGAGGACCGCCCCGCGTGTGCAGCCCCGGCGCGATGGGCTGTGGAGGCCGGCGCTGGCCGGGTAAAGGGTCGGCCGCCAGGAGACCGGGTGGCCCCAGCAGCTAATTTTCGTGACTCAGCGAGGTAGGAGTGGGAGCCTGGGGGAAATTGGGGATTTGGACCTGTTCCCTCGCCCCATCCCACCCCAGCTGGATGCTCAAGCCAGGAGTCCAGGCTGCAGCTGCGGCGGAAGAACTCCTCACCCCACTCCCCGCCCATCCCCAGGGACTTACTGCACTGGGGAAGGGTGAAGCAGCAGGGATTCAATTGTCCCCTCCTTGCGGGGGGCAGAGGGAGGCACCCAGTGCGGAGGACGAACATTCGCATTCTGCAAATGTGCTAGGGCCGCTTTCTTTGGGGAGCGTGATTAGGGCTCCGAAGGGTGGAGGAGCTGGAGAGTACAGGGAAGGGGGGTTGTGGGGAGAGGAGGAGCAGGTTTCGGAGCCCAGGGCTGTAAATCAAGTCTTCTCCCACAGAGGGCCCAGCTGACCAGGATTCCAGTCTTCCTGTGGGTCCCAAGTGGGGAAAGTTGGGCGCATGGAAGCCCTGTGTGTTCCTGACCTGCAGGGCCTCGGCGGGAGCGGCCACCGGGGAGAGGAGCCCAGGCAGCTTCCTTGGGAGCGACAGGCAAGCCGCCTGCCAGGATGAAATTCAAATGCTCTGACACAAGGGAGATCCGGCCAGGAAAAGAGCGCAGGGCTCTGCGGGACCCCCAGAACTGGAGAAACTGAGTCTGGTGGCAGCACAGCCACCATCTGCGCTGCGTTCCCTGTCTTGCGGTCGGGCCCGCGTCCCCCACCCTCTGCTGCGCTCCAAGCCGCACCTGCCCCCACCCCAGCCCATTGTTCCTGCGGATCAGGGAGGTGCCTCACCACACGGCATTGCAGTGGTGGGGGAGTGCAGGGTGGGGGGTGGGGGATCCTGACAGGGCTCACTCCAGGGAGAGGGAGCGGAGAGGCCAGGCCGTGCCCAAACGCACACCCAATCTGCCCCCGCCTATGCTCTTCCTCAGCTGACGAATGCAGGCGATGGACTGGCAGCTGTCTTTGTTTGAATATCACTCAGCAACTGGATTGATTCTTTTTTATTTTAACTTTTTTCTTTAAATCATAAAAAAAAAAAATTTATTTAGGACAGTAAGTAGGGGCGTTGACTTGCTAAAGCCTGAGAATTAGTGAGCCAGTTTTTTGCTTCTCATGCTGGGATAGAGTGGGCGATGGTACCAAATGCAGGGTTGGACATAGGATTTGTCGAATCAGAAGTGGGCACACCCCACTCCCCACACCCTTTCCAACACTGTTTTGTCTTGTAAACCAAATTCAGCATCCCTATTCTATCCTACCCCCGCAACCCTCCCCACATGCGTGCGCGCACACACACACGCACACACGCAAGGTGCTGGGAGAAATCCCATTCAGGATGGGGACATCCATGCCTGGTATGCTGGGCCACTTGACGCTGCTCTTCTGGCTCTGTTCTGGAGTGTTTGTTTCTTCACTTCCAGTGACCTCCAGTTCAAGGTGGCCAGTGAGAATTCCAGATACATGGACTTAGGACAGAGACCGACCTGAAGATTGGGCTGTCCCTGGCAACTCACCGTGCCTCTGGGCACCTCTCCTTTTAACTGTAAAACGGAGGATGTGAATAGTATTGCATAGGAGGAGAGTCAGCTTCCCCACCCCCCCAAACGCCCCCCACCACCCGCACACCTATTTCTAAGGTTTCCTCATTGCTGAGAAGCAAGCATGCATTATTTTATTGTTTTAAAGCTGCACAACAAACCTGTTACCAGCATTCTCCCCTTCCTGGTGGGAAATCGGAATACAGGTTGAGTGACCTGTCCAAGGTCACACATCTGGGAAGTGTTGATTGGAAGCCAGGCCATCTGATTCCAGGGTGCCAACCTGTGCACACAGCCCTCATGCACATGCTCAGCGGTTACCACTCTATTAGGAACATAAAAATGGTTGTGCTTCCTGGGGAGGATTTCCAGAATGCTCTTGGTACAAAAGAATGGGTGCCACAGATATCACACTGCTGGGATTTGTGAGCAGTGGGAGTGCTGGGTTGGGGAGGGGCTTGGTGGTGGATAGGTGGTGGGGGAGGTAGCCTCAGAAGGCTGCCCAATAAATCTTCTCCAACAAGTGCAGCTGGGGTGGGTTGGGGAGTGGGCAGAAGTGCCAATGAAATAAGAATGGCAAATGTTGGTAGTTGGGTGATGGGGAGTGGCGGTTCATTACTATTCTGCTTACTTTGGTTATGTTTGCTAATTTTCTTAATAAGATGTTTAAATTACTTAATTTACAAAATCTGAAGGACCACCTCGAGGCTCTGGGTGTTGGACAGCAAGATTTGAGATGACCTTCAATCCCGCCCTCTCCCCTGTGACCTGAGTGAGTTGACACATGGAGCCCTAGAAGGGCGAGATGAGTTGAAGGTGGGCAGATTGGTTCAGACAGGGATGGTTCCTGTGGTGACTGAGTCAGGGCTAGGCATGGGCAGTGGAAACCGTCATTTTCTCCAGGGTGGGGCTTGAGGAGAGGGATGACGGGCAGGCAGTTTTGCCTAGGTTGAGGGTGTCTCTCGAGGCCTGGCATTAGGCTTTGGAGATGCCATCCTGGAGGTTCATCTTAATAAAAAAGACATTTTAAACATTGACATTTATTGAGGACTTAGTGTGTGCTGAAACCTGGGAATATTGAGTTATCTCATTTAGCCCTGACCATATTTGTTGTTGAATGAATGACTATGAGGGGTTCCCTTTTATCCCATTTCACAGAGGAAGAAGCTGACAGTCCTAGCAGCGCATAGCTGGAAGGGGGCAGAGTGAGGGTCAGGACCTAAGCCGTGGGACGCAGGCCCCAAGTGGTCAAGCTGAACAGCTTCTCCTGGCACATGCCTGGCATGTCGCAGGCCCTCAGGGAATTGTGTTGAGTAGGCCTGCAGCTAATAGAGAGCGGCTGCCCCGCTTTCTATAGCTACCAAGCTGCACATGGTGGTGACAGGGCACTGGTTGTAGCCTCCAAAGGAATTAAGCAAAGGTCAAGGTGATGCTCTGGGTATTGCCGGTTACGGTTCTGGCCATGGGATCCACTTCCGTGTTAACACCCACTGCTGCAACTGTATCTGCAGCCTTGGTGGTCCCCACATGCCCCCTGTGCATGTCCCTACACAGTGTCTTGTGTTTTTTTGAGTCATTTCATCGCCTTTGACCCTCAACACATGCAGTTCCCCCTGCTTGGGACATCCTCCCTTTGTCTAGCAAACTCCTACTCATCCTTCAAAACTCAGTGAAGGTATCGCATCTCAGGAAGCCTTCCTGGGCTCATCCATTGGGGTGAGATCTGCCTGTGTGGTCCCAAAGCCTGTGGTACTTGACTGTTGGTAATTCCAACTAGTGTGTGTTGAGCCCCTACGATGTGCCAGCCTTCTATGCCTGTATCCCATCGACTGCTCTACCAATCCTATGAGGCTGGTATTATTATTACCCCATTTTGCTGATTGAGGGCTTTGAGAAACTTGCTCACTTGCCTAACCAGTGATTGCTGGAGTTGGGATGAGTCAGCCGTGGAGCCTAAAAGCTTGTGCTATTTCTCTCAATGTCCTTTCTCCCGGGAAAGGCATGGACTATGTCTTTCATTTTCATATTTTTTTTTTAGGTATTCATTAAATGTCTTACTCTTGGTTGAATATCAGCCAGCAAGACATGAGGGAACACAGCAGAGGGCAATGGTGTCTATATCTTGCTCACTCTGCAGTGGCGCTCCTGGAAATGAGGATGCTCAGGAGTGGGCCAAGCTGGAGGGGAATCAGGCAGAGCTTCGGCAATCTCAGAAGAGAAGCAGATTCCAGTAAGGCCTGGAGTGACGACTCAATCTTGTGGAGGCGAAATGCTCTCTTCTCATATAAATAGGCCTTTTTGGTAAGGGAGAAAGCATCTTTATTACTGCTGTGCATAATTAGAACAGCAGGGAGGAATCAGGCTTTTAATGAATGAGCAGTGTGTGGCAGGGAGTGAACGCCTGCCACTGTGGGCACCCTCGGGCCTGGGCATCCCCAAGAGAGAGCAGGGCCAGTGAGGAGATGACCAAGGAAGCGCAAGCAGCCCTCAGAAATGAAACCCGCCCCACTGAAGTGGGCCCTGCCAGTCTCTGCTGTGTTCCTGTTACTGCAAATGACTCCCAGGCTGCAGCTTTGCAGTTGCTGCTCTGAGCTCTGCCAGGACCACCCTTCTTCTTCCAGCCTTGTCTGTGACCTGGCAGCCGCAGATATCCTGTGGGGCTGGCAGCTGCTCCATGGCACCCATTCTGGGCAATCCCGAGCTGCAGAGTTTGTGCCTTGATTTTAGTCCCCTTATTTTTAGGGTGACCATATGTCCTGGTTTGCTGGAATAGTTCTAGTTTATGTTTCTTGTCCTGGTGAAATTAGTAATAGCGATACCTTTCACCTTCTAAGTATCTCAGTTTGGAAGGTGAATTATGTGGTGGTGCTCCTTATCTTTGTCTTCTCAGCCATCTGGGCCTCAAGAGGAATGAGGGAGGCAGTAGGGTGTGCAAATTAAACCTGGGCTTTGGGCTCAGATGCATGTAACATCTGGCTTTAACATTGCTGCATCTCAGTTTCTTCTGCTGTAGGTAAGGATGATTAATAATCCCTGCTCCACTGGGGTGCCGTGAGAATGAAGTGAGAGTATTTAAAGAGCGTAGGTATGAGCCTGGTACTTAGAGGGCTCTCAGTAACTTCCAATTATTTTATTATTATTGTTAGGTTGATTTGGGAAGTATAGTGGTTAAATATGAGATCTGGGACCAGGCTGCCTGGGTTCATATCCTAGACAGTGACCCTGGCAAGTTACTTAACTGTGTAAAGACTCAGTTTTTCTCATCTGGAAAGTATGGACTATAACAGTCTCTTCTTTATGTAGTCTTTGTGAGGATTAAATGAGTTTATACATGAAAAGCACTTAGAGGAGAGCTGGGCATGAAATAGACATTGAATTAATATGAGCAATTATTATTGGCTGTTATTGTTACTATGAATAAATGTCCCGAGTTACATTCTTGTAGGCAGGAGGAATTATCCAGTACATTTGTTTCCTATTGCTGTTGTAAAACTTACCACAAATTTAATGGCTGAAAACCATACAAATTTATTGTCTTTTATTTCTGGAAGTCAGGAATAAGTCCAAAATGGGTCTCCCTGGGCTAAAACCAAGGCGTTGGCAGAACCGTATTCCTTCTGGAGGCTCGAGGAGAGAATCCATTTCCCTGCCTTTTCAAACTTCTCAAGGTGACCTGCATTCCTTGGCTTGTGGCCCCTTCTTCAATCTTCCAAGCCCATCACTGCAACTTCTGCTTCCATGGCCACATTCCTTCTCTGTCTCTGCCTCTCCTCCTCCTACTCCCTTTATGAGGACCCTTGTATGAGGATCTTTTATAAGGCCTACTTGCATAATCATTTCCCCATCTCAAGACCCTTAATTTAATCATGTCTGCAGACTCCCTCTTGCCATGGGAGATAACATATTTATAGATCTTAGGGGGCTACTATTGAGCCTCTCATAGCCAGAAAGATTGGAGTCTTGCCTAGGTTTGGGGGTGTTAGAGAGTCTTCCGTCTCCTCAGAAGCTGTTTGAAATTTGGAAATGGTTCTTCCTCCGTGTCGTACATTAGGGCAGGTTCCTCATGCACTTGCTGCATGTTGCCCTCCCTGGAATTTGGATTGTGGATCAGCCTTTGACTTCCATTCAATCTCAGTAGGGTCCTTGGAGACACTGTTACTTCCAAGGGCTGGTTTAGTCCCTTCTCAGGGACCCATGACTCATTGAGACCAGAATAAAAAGGTTTATTGGCTCCCAAGCAGGGAAAACAATCAATGCACTAAACAAGTTATTGAAATGTCTATAAAATGTCATATTATATTTGCTTTTACTATGTAACAAACCACCCCAAAGTTTAATGGGTTAAAACAATAGTCTTTTTTTTTTTTATTTTTTTTTAAGAGAGGGTCTTCCTCTGTGACCCAGGCTCGAGAGTGGTGGCATGACCTTGGCTCATGCAGCCTCTGCTTCCTGGATCAAACGATCCTCCCACCTCAGCTTTGTGGGTAGCTGGGACTAAAGGCGCACACCACCATGCCTGGGGCATTTTTTTTTTTTTCTGTAGAAACAAAGTCTCACTATGTTGCCCAGGCTAGTCTTAAACTCTTGGGCTCAAGCAACCCTCCTGCCTCAGCCTCCCAAAGTGCTGAGATTGCAGGCATGAGCCACTGTGCCTGGCAACAATGATCATTTTATGTGATTATGATTCTCTGTCAGGTCTCTGTTGGGTGGTTGTTTTGCTGGTCTTCCCTGTGGCCACTTATGTGACTGCAACACTCTGATGGCTCAACTAGTCTGGGTAGTCCAAGATGACCTCACTCACAGGTCTGGGGGTTGGTGCTGGCTGTTGGCTGGGCCTCATTCTCCACATGGTCTTTTATCCTCCAAGAGGCAAGCTCAGGCTTCTTTATGTGGTGGCCTTAGGGCAGCAAGAGGTTGCGAGGAGAAGCTGCAAGGCCTCTTGAGGCCTTCCTGGGAAGTCCTATAAAACCATGTCTGCTGTATTCTGATGGTCACAGCAAGTCATGAAGCCAGCCCAGATAGAGGGGATGGAGAAATTGCCTCCACCTCTTAATGAGAGGACCTGCAAAGAATGTGTGGCTATTTTTAATCTTGCAGAGTTGGCTTGGCAAAAATGTTAAAACCACAAACTTTAGAAAACTATATTATGCTTTAAAACAACTCATGGGTTAGATCTCACTTCTTAAGACTTTCTGCAAGTGCCCAATGATTGTCTGACACTTACAATTATTTGTTTGTTGTGCTACAAAATGTGTTTCTATAAGTGGTAAATGAAGAATGATGTTGGTATTTAGAAAAGCTGTATTGGCACATTCTAGTTGTTCCAAGCATGCTTGCACTTTGATAGATCAGGATGCACTGTCTTCATGATTAAAGGCTAATACATGAAAAAGCAAGAAAAAAAAATGCTGAAAATCTATAGATGCAACTTCCTTTAGTGCAAGTCAGAGCTGTTTTAATATATTTCCACGCCCTTAAGCTCCGTGGGCAGATAAGAGGGCAGATGAAGGAGCTACAAAGACATTGTCCCTATAAGAAAATGATGGATATGGGTGACACTCTGGATGGGTTTTGCATATTTCTTTCTTTTTTTTTTTTTTGAGACAGAGTCTAACTCTGTTGCTCAGGCTGGAGTACAGTGGCGCAATCTTGGCTCACTGCAACCTCCATCTCCTGGGTTCAACAATCCTTGTGCTTCAGCTTCCTGAGGAGCTGGGACTACAGATGTGTGCCAGGATGCCTGGCTAATTTTTGTATTTTTAGTAGAGACAGGGTTTCACCTTGTTGGCCAGGCTGGTCTCGGACTCCTGACTTCAAGTGATCCACCTGTCTTGGCTTCCCAAAGTGCTGGGATTAAGGTTGTGAGCCACTGTGCTCTGTCCTGTTTTGCATGAGAATGGCCCCTTAAGAAGTGAGTGCCCTGTTACTGTTTTTGGAAAGGTTTCGGTAGCAAGCTTCCACAGGTGTGGAGTGATCTGCGCCCACCCTGTTTTTTCCATGAATCCTGCTGTTTTTAGTGTATGGGTTTGTAGAATGTGAAGATTTGTAGGAAAATATGCTGTATTACAGCAGAAATGCTTGTGCTGATACTCCTTGACTTCCCAACTTATGATGGGGTTATGTCCTGATAAACCCATAAAAACATTGAAAATATCATATGTTGAATCATCCTAAGTTGAGGACTGTTTGTATTTATATTGGATGTGGGGTGAGTGTTCATTGAAAAAATATTTGTTCTGATTTGTGGCGAGCCTCCAATAACAGCCAATAGGAAGAGCCCGTTGTCACTTCCTATTCAGTTGTTTTTGAACTTTTAGGACTACTTTGCTTTCCAGATGTTTGCATACTTGTTGGGTAGTTTTGTCAGTTATGCTCAGAATTTTAATGTCAGAAAATGGAGACTCCAGAAGGGTACTAAGTTCTGTAGGAGGGAGCTCCTGTTTCATTGACCCACTCAGCACCCAGTATCTTGGAGGCAAGTGGAGTACACCAGTGCCCTTTGCTTCCTAGAAACTGACAATGAAATTATGTCCCTTGGGGGTTCCTGTGTTTTGTAAATCAGACCTTATGGTCTCATTGGTTTCTCTGTGATGAGGAACAGTGGTTCCCATACCCAGGCTGCTGGTTCTGTTTGGGACAGGGAAGCTGTAGGTATTCGGGCTCCAGCCTGCTGACTCTGAGGCCTCTGGCTGGCCCCTCTTTGCTTGTCTCCCAGGTTTCCTTGGGCTGAAGGCTAAACTCTGGCCACTTACTTCATTTTCTTTCCTTTTTGTCATTGTCTCTGAGTGGCCATACCTGCTGGGATAGGAAACCGTTTACAGCACAGCTGTCAGGCGAGGAGTCTGTTCCCAAAGCAGAGAAGAAAGTTATCAGAAAACAACTGCTGTAGTCAGTCCACGCTGCTGCTGGCCCCATTCGAAGGGACCATGGTCTTCAGTTCGGGTGGTAGGTTCCCTGGGCCAGCAGTTAGAAAACAGGATACATGGATATATCCACAGCTAAGTGCGACCAGGTTGTCCAATGTCTGGGTTTGGCCCACCCTCTCATTTTACAGATGGGGAAACTGAGGTTAGGGAGGGAAAGAGACTGCCCCAGGACACTTGGCAAAGCCAGGGTCAGAATCCAGGTCTGCCCACTCCCTCTGCATGCTTTCCAGCTGAGCTTGGCAATGGCTGCAGAATCCTTCAGCAGTCCCGCCAGCCACTCCCAATCAAGTCAGACAACACAAGGATCCAAACCTCTTTGCCATCAACAAATTCATGGCTTGCCCCTCCCAGCGGAAGTTATATTTTTAAAAAGTATTTGAAGAATGCTTAACTCAAAGGAATGAAGTGCCAAGTCCCGTTGCTGTGGATAAAACACTCCGCAACCGTGGAGTTGCGGGCCCCGCTTTTCTCTTCTGGTTTCTGGTGTGTTCCCTCACTCGACAGCGGTGGTTGCCCATCTTTCTGTGCCTTGGCTCTTGGCACAACGTCTGTTTTGAAAGGGTTTTAATTAAGGATTTTGGTTGCAGGTAATGGCAGACATTCTTACTCTGGCTAGAGGAAGCCAAAAAGGTCACTTTACAGGGAGGATCCAGGGATGGCTTCCTGAACTTAGACCTGCTGCCAGGACTAGGAGGAGAAAGTGCTGGGATTTTTTTGAGACGGAGTCTCGCTCTGTTACCCAGGATGGAGTGCGGTGGCACGATCGCGGCTCACTGCAGCCTCTGCCTCCTGGGTTCAAGTGATTCTCCTGTCTCAGCCTCAAGAGTAGCTGGGATTACAAGCATGCACCACCATCCCCAGCTAATTTTGTATTTTTGGTAGAGATGGGGTTTCACCATGTTGGCCAGGCTGGTTTTGAACTCCTGACCTCAACAGATCTGCCCAACTCAGCCTCCCAAAGTGCTGGGATTACAGGTGTGAGCCACCACCCTCAGCCCTGTCTCTTACTTCTGCTTTGCTCTGCATGTCACCCACCCTTCCTCTCTGCAGGGCCACTTTAGGTGTTTCCCATCTTCAGGGCAAATGTGGCCCACCCCAGTGACCTCCATGTTGAAGTGACAAGTTCTGGTACACAGGAGGTCTGATGTCTGTCTTTTTTTTCTCTCTTTTCCAAGTCCAGATTCCCAGAGGAGACCCCAAGTTTCAGGTAGGATCAGGACCTGACCTAGAAACTGTCGACCCCGGCCAGAAGAAGGGTTACCTTGCTGAGAGGGGAAGTTAGAGGGGCACAGCATCTGGTGGTCAGAGAGTAATTGTCTCCCACAAATCGTTAACAGTACTGGTACCTGGAGTTAAGCCCTGTGCAGTAAAGAATTTCTAGAGTGAAAGTTATCGGGAAACAACTCCCATCGTCACTCCACACAGCTGCTGGCCCCATTTGAAGGGACCATGTTCATCAGTTCAGGTGGTGGTTTCCCTGGGCCAGCAATTAGAAAACAGGGCTCATGGATACATCCACAGCTAAATGCGTTCAGGTTGTCCAATGTCTGGGCTGGGCCCACCCTCTCATTTTACAGATGGGAAACAGACGTCAGGGAGGGAAAGAGACTGCTTCAGGATGCTTGGCAAAGCCAGGATCAGAATCCAGGTCTGCTGACTCACTCTGCTTGCTGTACATGCATGGAAAAGAAAGAGATTACCTGTTAGAAATTTTGCTCTTTTGTTCTTTCTTGGAGAAAATTACTTCCTCCCATATAAGCATTTCATGCTGCAGGGGGTAACTGACCAGTGGGTCCCTCCCATGAGAACAATGCACAGACCCTTGGCGTGTTCTTCTGGGGTGTGGTGCGCTGTAGTCAGTCCATGTGTCCGCTGGCCCGTATGAAGGGACCATGGTCATCAGGTCTGGTGGTGGTTTCCCTGGGGCAGCAGTTAAGAGGGCCGCAGGAGGGATGCATCATTCTTCTGAGTCATTTGCTTCACTTTTCCCTCCTAGATCTGGCAGCTGGTTTAAGTTCTGGGAGCCACCCCTGGATCCTCACCGTAAAGTGACCTTTTTGGCTTGGCTTCCTCTATCCAGAGGTTTGGTTGCAGGTTTACTTACCTGCAACCAAAATCCCTTTTAAAACAGACATTCTGCCAAGAGCCACGGCACAGAAAGATGGGCAACCACCATTGTCAGGGGCCAGTTCTGCCTAAGCACAAGGACCTCCTCCAGGGTCCTCCAGGGGAGGCCGAGTGGCCAGCTGTGGAGTATGTACCATTGGCTGAGTCCACGAAGGCCCATGCAGCAGGACCCTGGAGCAGACCGAGGGAACGGGGCTGCTCGGAGAAGCTGGCCCGCACCTGAGGGCACACTGATTCCTCCCTGCCATAGCTCCTTGGCTTCTCTCCCAGGAAATGTTAGGAGGGTGGAAACCATGTTTGACCCAGCCTGGGGAAGCCAGAGGGCCTGGTTCCTTCATAGTGAGGTTGCTGGGCTGTACAGAGGCCCCTGAAAGGCCTTTACCCCACAGCCTCGGTCTGTCTGTCAGACCAGCTATGGCAAGATGCTTTTGAAGATATATTTGACCGTCCATCTTTTGGCATCAGCCTCTGGTAGTCCTGGCTAGCAAAGCTGCTAGAGCAGGTTGGAGGTGGGCATGGCTGGGGAAGGAAGTCACCCGGGGCCAGGCAGACCCTGAGAAGAGGGGCTAACAGATGGAACGGGGTGTGAGGGACCCCAGGCCTCCTTTGTAGGCGGTAAGGCAGAGCGGGTTTTGGAGTAAGACAATACTTGGTTCAAATCCTGTTGCTACCTCTTACTACTAAGTGGCCTCAGGCAAGTCATTGCGCCTTTCTGGGCCTCAGTCAAGTATAAAAAGCACTCAATACCCATGCCTGGGAGCTAGTGTTGGATGGGCACTTGGCGGAGTGAAATGGGCTTAGCTCAGTTAGAACGTCCTGGTTTGAGTCCTGGCTCCCACACCTGGCCTTGACCTCACCAAGTTATTCAACCTCTCTGGATCCCTCTGACCTTACCTTAAAAGTACAGGTCACAGCACTTCATAGGTTGTTTTTGAGAATTAGATGAGGCCACGTATGTGAATAATTTGTCCTCCACATGAAACATGCGTGGTCAACATTAGGCATCATCATTATCACTGTTAGTATTTTGAGACGGAGTCCTGCTCTGTCATCCAGACTGGAATGCAGTGGCACCATCTCAATTCACTGCAAACTCCTCCTCCAGGGTTCAAGCAGCTCTCCTGCCTCACCCTCCCAAGTAGCTGGGATTATATGTGCCCACTACCATGCCCGGATAATTTTTGCATTTTTAGTAGAGATGGGGTTTCACCATGTTGGCCACACTTGTCTCGAACTCCTGGCCTTTGGCCTCCCAAAGGGCTGGGATGACAGGTGTAAGCCACTACGCCTGGTCATCTTTATTCTTTAAAACACACATTGGGCACATACAAGGTACTCAGAAAGGTCAATATTAGGGAGTGGAGCTGGCTAAGTAGGTGGGGTTCCTTGCTGGGAGATTTTTGTAAAGTTTACTCTATTGAGGTCTAAGTTACTTAAGATAAGACTCACTCACACTTTTTGGCTGTACAGTTTTATGAGTTTTGTCAAATGTTCAGTTGACCCTTGAACAACATGGGTGTGACTTGCACAGGCCCTCTTATCCATGAATTTTTTTTCAGTAAATATATTAGAACATTTCTTTGGAAATTTGTAACAATTTACTGCATAACCTATTGAAAAATTAAGAATTTAGGTATGTCATGAATGCATAAAATAATGTGTTAATTGACTGTTTATGTTATTGTTATGGCTTCCGGTCAACAGTAGGCTATTTGTAGTTAAGTTTTGGGGGAGTCACAAGTTATCTGTGGATTTTTAACTGTGCAGGGGCTTGGTGCCCCTAACCCTCATGTTGTTCGAGGGTCAACTATAGTCATGTAACCACCACGTCAGTGCAGAATATTTCCAACTTAGGAGGATTTTGTCATTCAGGAGGATCTTCTGATTTACAGAGGGCCTCCCTTTTGATGGTAGGGGATCTCAAGGCCTGGACCATACCCCATAGGGAGGGACTCTCGGGGTCCACCCAGTGGCAGCATCCCAGCCTGTCCCTTGGGGCTTTTACCAGCCAGAGGTTGTGGGTAGGCTTCTGTGACCTTCCTGGCCTGCTCCTCATTGGCTCTGAAGAAAGGAGAGATGGAGCCTGCAGGCTGCCCTTTGTCAGTCCCTGGGCCAGGCAATGCTGCCAGGCGAAGGCTAAGAACCCACTTGAACTGAGAGCTGAGACACAGCCCATGTTTGTGTGAGTTACTCAGAGAGCCAGGACGAGTGAGGTGTAGCCTAAAATGAGGGTCCCATGTCTCTGCTTGCCATAAGGCCACCTACAGGGGTGTGTGAGGGCCCTTGCCCTGGGAGGCTCATTGCCTGGCACATAAGAAGCATCAAGATGGGTCCCTGGAGGGGGTGGTTTGAGGACTCTTCTGAAAGGCTCCCCATACCTGCCCCTGGCCACAGAGCCTGCAGTTCCACCATCAGGGAGGCTTTTACTCATGCAGATGTGATTTGGTGCCACATTCCTTTGGGTTAAACATTATTTCTTCAGTATTCTCTTTCTTTTTTTTTTTTTTTTTGAGACTGAGTTTTGCTCTTGTCACCTAGGCTGGAGTGCAATGGTGCGATCTCGGCTCACTGCAACCTCCACCTCCTGGGTTCAGGCAATTCTCCTGCCTCAGCCTCCTGAGTAGCTGGGATTACAGGCACGCGCCACCATGCCCAGCTAATTTTATTTGTATTTTTAGTAGAGATGGGATTTCACCAGGTTGACCAGGATGATCTCGATCTCTTGACCTTGTGATCCACCCGCCTTGGCCTCCCAAAGTGCTGGGACAGTGTTCTCTTTCAAAAGGAAGCTCCTGCTCTGCATATAAAACCCTTAGATAAGCAATGGCATGTAGACTTGAATTGTGTCCACATCACTGACTCATAGGGAAGAAGCTGTCTGGAGAGCTGTGTGAAGAAGGATTCTGAGGTCACCTCTGGCTCAGTTGGAAAGAATGCAATAATCAGTTAGTGCTGTGTGTCCCAAATGCCCCACTTAGGGCTAGTTCATGATGGCTTCTGAGGCTTGAAGCCTACATTTGTCACTGAGGAAGTTACCCAGGTGACTGTGTACTAGGTTATATGAAGCTAAATTTATTCCATCTGAAAAAGAATTTCTGATATTATGCCCTTGTGGTAGCTTATTGAATTAATAATCTACGATAAATCATGTCTCCAGGTACAGATGCTCCTCAACTTACGATGGAGTTACATCCTGATAAACCCATTGTAAATTAAGAATATCATTAAGTAGAAAATGCATCTAATCCACCTAACCTACAGACCATCATAGGCTAGCCTACCTTAAATATGCTCAGAACACTTACAAGGCTGGGCATGGTGGCTCATGCCTGTAATCCCAGCACTTTGGTAGGTGAGGTGGGCAGTTCACAAGGTCAGGAGTTCGAGACCAGCCTGGCCAACATGGTGAAACCCTGTCTCTACTGAAAATATAAAAGTTAACTGGGCGCAGTGGCACATGCCTGTAATCCTAGCTACCAGGGAGGCTGAGGCAAGAGAATCGCTTGAACCCGAGAGGTGGAGGTTGCAGTGAGTCGAGATGCCACTGCAGTCCAGCCTAGGGGAAAGAGTGAGACTCTGTTTAAAAAAAAAAAATTAGCCAGGCATGGTGGTGCAGACATGTAATCCCAGTGCTTAGAGGCTAAGATGGGAGAATCACTTGAACCAGGAGGCGGAGGTTGCAGTGAGTTGAGATCGCACCATTGCACTCCAGCCTGGGTGACATAGCGAGACTCTTTCCCAAAAACAAACAAACAAACAAAAAGACTCACTTACATTAGCCTACACTTGGACAAATTAATCTAACACAAAGCCTATTTTATAATAAAGTATCTCATATAATTTATTGAATATTGTACTGAAAGTGAAAAACAGAATGGTTGTTTGGCTACTCAAAGTATGGTTTCTACTGAATGCGTGTCGCCTTTGCACCGTCATGAAGTTAAATAATCATAAGTCAAATCATGGTTGGTTGGGGCCACCTGTACTCACACCCTTGTGTCATCTCCTACCTGGACTCAGGGCGTAGCTTTGTGATTGTTTTGGCCGATACAACCTTGGTAAACAGGAAGCCAGCAGAGGCTCAAAAATGCCTGTTAGTACGTCGGAGCTTGCCCACTTGTCCTTTGCTGTTTAGGAAGTGCAGGTTGTCCTGCTGGAGAGGCCGCCTAGAGGGGAACTGAGGCCCCCAGCTGACAGCCTAGGTGAACATGGATGTGAGTGAGTCTGTCTTGGCTCATCTAGTCCTCGTTGAGCCTTCAGATGACTTTAGCTGCATGAGTTGACCCCAGGTGAGAAAAGCCCAAATTGCAGAATTCTGTGTAAATTGTTGTTATTTTAACCCATTAAATTTTGTAGTTAAAAATATTTTGGATTACAGTAGGCAACTGATATAGTCCCATTTTTATTTCTTTTATGAATTGAGTATAGTAGCAGATGATAGGTTTAATAAAAGTGTTAATGTCTGTTCTTGGCAAAATGAAAATATGATAACACTTTGTTAGATCTACAATTTTTTGACAGAGGGCAGATTTTACTTCTTAGTAAACGTAGGTGTCTGGGAACCACTGAATTAGTGGAGATCCGAGGGAGGTGTTGCTGTGCAGCCTGGGGTCTTCATCCACCATTGGCATGTAAGTTAGTGTGACTTAGATTAAAAAAGTGAGAAATAGTTAAGGCTGGAGGGTGGAGGTGTGGGAGCTCTCAGTGTTCTGTGAGCCGGCTTCATTTTTCAGATGAAGAAACAGAAACCTAGAAAGTGACAGTGAGCCTGAGAGCACCCGGTGGCACTAGGGCTATGCTGTTCCTTGGAGCAAGCCAAGACTGGCTGGCTGGATGCGATATTGAGGATGGGCAGGGGCAAAGGATAGGAATGTTGAGTGGCAGCCCCCAGGTTGGGCCTGGTGGTTTGAGGGGCATGCCCAGAAGGAACTGTGGGAAATAAGGGATGTCATCTGCCCAAGGACACCAACCCTTTGGGGAGCACTCACAAGGGAGATGGCTTGAAGTGGTATCAAAGACCCATCAAGGACCTGTTACTGCTGGGGCTGGTGGGGTCCTGCTGGGCATGTCTCCGGGGAGGCTGCTGGGAATGTGCGTGTATGTGTGTTACATGTGCACACATAATTCTGAATGTTGATGCATGCGTGGGGAGAGAAGCAGAGTGAGCAGCTGAGATGGAGGAGGGAGAGAGAGACAGAGGAAGGAGTGGGCTGAGAGATGGTAGAAGCTTCTGGGAGGTCTTCCTTTGGGGTTCTTGCAGTTTATTCAGACTTGAACCCATGAAGTCATGGCTGATCATGGCACTGATTCTGCCCCAACACCACACTCCTTGGGCCTTTGGTAAATATTTGATAGTGAGATCCCAAAGTGCCACATGCCAGGGGACAGAGCCTGAAGCTCTTGGGAAGGAAGACCAGCCAGCAGGATGGGACTGGGTAGGGAACCAAGGGAATGTCAGAATTCACTTCGTCCTACTTAGCCTATTTTGTGTGTGTGTCTAAACCTTGTATGTTGAATGAATATTCAGATCGAAAATTTGACTTCCTCGTTGAGTTGCATTCTGAAAATGGAGTCCTATTCTGGTAGAGTCAGGCCTTAAGATAGCACACAAGTATGCTGAAGAATGCAGCTGGGGTCTTTTTAAGATTTCCTCCCAAAAATATTAGTGTGTGGGCAGGGGGTTGGGGAGGGAGGAGCCACTTTCTAATGAAATATTAGCAACGAGGCAGAAATACACTGCAAAACATAAATTCAGAAGCCAAAAATACAGTCACCCTGGCAGTGGGATAGCCCTCTCATCCCGTGACTCACTGGGAGTAGTCAGGGTTTTGTGTCCTGAGATAGTTCCCCCCTCCCCCACTCCCCACTCCTTCTCCTTCTCCCAGCAAAGCTCTTCAGTCCTCGAATCTCTCACCAGTCCCATACTCATCACTGGTGTCTCCCTTGGAGATAATTTGTGAACCCCTTTCTATCTGTGAATATGCATATAATTCCTGGTGTCCCTCCCCTGCCTGCCTCCCCCTTCTCTCAGGGCCCCAAGACTGTTGGGGGCCACGCAGTCCTCCCTGGCACACTGCTATGCCAGCCTCAGGTAGCATGAGGTCTGGTGACTGAACCACACTGGAACACTGACCTGATGTTAATGATGGAAGTTGAGGCACACATGGCCAGTGGGAAAAGTGGGAGCCCAGAGGTGGAGCTGGTCCATGAGGGCTCAGCATGAGGCTTGATGAAGCCTGGGACCGTAGCAGAGTGTTTCCCACACTGCAGGGTGGCAGGATTTCTGTCTTAACACAGGCTGGCTCGGTTCAGGCAGGGGACATTTGGGGAATTAAGTGTCGAAGCCAGAAGCAATTCCCATCAAGTGGAGCTCCTGGGCCCTGGAGGAGGCTGACAGGGTGAGGCAGTTGGAAAGTCCCCTTCCAGGCAGGATCCCTGTGCTGTATTCTCCCTGTAAGGCAAAGTGATATCGTGGGAACAGCTCAAGTCTTGGGTTCAAGTCTCAGCTCTGCTCTTCCTGGCTATGAGGCTTTGGGCAGGTCTCAAAACTTCCAGAGCTTCTGGTGCCTCCCCTGGGGGATGGAGCTGAGGAATAGAGCCTGCACCTTGGTGTCTCTGGGAGATTTGCCAGGCAGAGAGTTGGCCTTCAGGGTCTGGGGACCAGGTGGTCACTGGGAGCTGATAGAGGCTGAGGGTCCTGATGCAGGAGACTGAGGAGCAGGCAGAGACCTGGGGCAGCACCAGAGCTATGGCTGGGAGCAGCCGGAGTCTCGGGCTTAGGCCGCAGGGCACCCAGTGAGGCGACAGAGAGGAATGGGTGAAGGCCAGCGTCACTCACTTGTCTCCCCTGCCCCACACTGTCCTGGGCAGGCTTTGGGTTAAACCTGAGACAACTTTATTTCTCATGACAGAAGATTTATGTGTTCATTATAGGAAATACGATCCAAAGCAAGAAAATAGGAAACAGCCAGGACCCCACACCCAGAGGCAGCCCGTTAACCCCTTGGTGGGGAGCCTTCCAGACTGGCCAGGCATGTTGAGACAAAGCTCACAGAGGGGCTGTCATGAAATCCAGCACCATGGGGAAGGGAGTCTTCTCTTATAGATGAGGAGATGGAGGCTCAAAAGGTCATGAGTCTTGGTTAAGACCCCATGGCCCTTACGTGCCCCAACTTGGTCCTTACACATTCTCACATATAGCAGTGTTTCACAGGTACCTGTAAATTGGTACAAATATAATGATCAGAAACATTTTAAAAACAACCTTTTTTTTTTTTTAAAGCATTAAAAAAAGATCCCATGGAGGGAGAGTGGTGGTGGCCTTCTTGTCTCTGAACCCAAAGTACATGTTCTGTCTTCATCTCTGCTCTCTAAGTATCTGTGACATTCCCTGGTGGCCTTGTCTCCAGCCACAAGAAAGCCACTTTCAAGACTCAGTGGTTTCCTGACATCAAACAGCCAGGAAGCAAGATGGGCTGGGCCCTCCCCAGGTGCAGGACTCTGTACGAGGTGCAGATGGGCTATTGAAAAATAGCACAAGCTCTGTCTTCCTGAAGTGCGGTCCAGCACCGCCCGATGTGCCTCTGTTGCGGCCATGCAGCCGCAGATGGCTCAGCAGAGTGCTGTCTCTGTCTGTGCACAGGTCAACCCCTGACCTCAGCTACTGGGGGATGGTCAGGGGCTCTCAGGTGGGCATTGGACAAGATAGTAGATGGGCCTGGAAGCCACAGCCCTTCTCTTTGGAGGTGACTTGGTACTGGGAAGAGCTAGGATCAAAGGAGTGAGTGGAGAGGCTGGCTGCAGGAGCAGGGCTGCTGGTCCCACCTGGAATGTCTGCTCCCAGGAGGTCAAAGGCCTAATTTCAGCTTCCCCAGTGTCTCCCCCAGGAGTTGCTGCCAGCTCCCTCCTCACAGGGGCAGCTTTGCTTTCTTCTAACAGTTCCTCATGGGTACCTTCACTAGTCCTAAATTGGTTGTTGCCTTAATCTTGTACTTCTCAGCCTGCAGAACTGTCAGAAATAAATTTCTGTTGTTTATGAGCCACGTTGTTTATGTATTTTCTTACAGCAACTTGAATGGATGGAGACAATGTCCATGTCTTAGCCCCTGGGGACATATTCACAATATGTCACCTTACACGGCAAAAGAGACTTCGCAGATTTGATTAGGTTAAGAACCTCGAGGTGGGAAGATGATCCTGGACTAGCCGGGTGGGCCCCATGTAAGCACAAGGATCCTCATGAGCAAAAGAGAGAGGCAGGAGAGTCAGCATCAGAGAGTGCTTAGAAGATGCTCTGCTGTGTGCTTTGAAGATGGAGGAAGGGGCCACAAGCCAAAGAATGCAGGTAGCCTCTAGCAGCTGGAAAAGGCAATGAATGGCTTCTCTCCTGGAGACTCCAAAAGGAACACAACCCTGATAACACCTTAATTTTATCCCAGGAAGACCCATTTGAGACTTCTGACCTCCAGAACTGTAAGAATAAATGTGTCTGGTTTTAAGTCACTAAATTGGTAATAATTTGTTAGAGCAGCAGTATGAAACTGATACACTGTGTGACCACCACACCAAGAGATGAGATGTTTTCATTATTCCAGAAGGTTCCCTCGTGCCCCTTCCTGGTCCACATCTACTCTGAGAGGTGGCCATTGTTCTGACATACTCCCCCTTAGAAGAGCTGTGCCTCTTCTTGACCTTTACATAACTGGAATTGTATAGTATGCATTCTTTCCAGTCTAGGGTCTTTTATTCAGCATGGTGCTTTTGAGTTTCATCCTTGCTCTTGGATGTTTCTGTAGTGTTATTGCTGAGACATATGTTGTCTCATGGGCATACCATACTGCGTTTATCCCTTCTGTTGATGGATGTTTGGATTGTTTCTAGTTTTTAACCATTATGGAAAAAAAAGACTGCTCTGAATATTCTGGAATAAATCTTTTTGGGGACGCACACACTCGTTTCTCTTGGGTAAAATCGTGGGAGTGGAGCTACTGTGTGGCAGAAGGGCCTCTGTTCAGCTTGAGCAGAAGCACTGGGGATTTTAAAGCACGAGCTCTGGTCAGCCTGGCCGGACTCGGGGACTGGATGCTGACAGCCACCCGCTGGCCTACAGTGGTTTCTGGGGGCACATGTGTGATGGTAGGCGAGGCCTTCTCTGGTCCAGGGAAGAGGGGTTAGTGGTCCTCAGACTGGAGATTCAGCTGGAAAACCTCAGCACATGTGTGCAGTGGGTCTTAGGAATGAATGTCAGGGAGGCCATGCTTCCTGAGCACCTAGTCTCACCCAGCTCAGTGCTGGAGTATCCTTATGGGTTATCCCTCATGGTCTCTACAGCAACCCAATGAGAGAGACAGTTGTTAGCCTGGTGTGTATTTGTAGAACTGAGGCCTGAGACAGATCCTGTCTGACAGAGCTAGGGAGGTGGGACTGGGTGTTGCCCTAGAGCCCAGCTAACTTGGGGTTCCCAACCCCATCCCCCACCCCTGGAAGAGCAGCTTGGGGCTGTGCCTATTTGGAGGGCAACACAAGGGTCAAATCCTCCCAGTTGAAGGTCAGCAGGCCCCTCTCTCCCTGCAGACAGATGATGTACCAGCCAGGCCTAAGAAATGGCAGATGGCTTCCCAGATGGCAAAGGACACAGCCCAGCTGTGCAGGGGGTTGTGTGAGGACAGCAATGATGAGGGGCAATGGTTAGAGGCTAATGGAGGTATTTGATTGGTTAAAGAGTTGCATCTGATATGAAGGGGATAGAGAGCTACAGTAGGTGCTTGAGGCTGGGAGTGACGTGATGATGTTGGTGGTTGTGATGTGATCCAGGGGGACAGCCTAGAGGCAGTGACACCAGCTGGAAGAGTATAAGGCTCTCTGGGAAGCTCTTCACACTACTCTGCTTTTGCTCTTGCTGTTCTCTCAGCCTGGTGTTTATTCCCATCTTGTTCACTCAGCAAACTTGCCCTCCCAGGAGGCTGCCAAGCATTACCTTCCTGGAGCTACCTTCCCCCACCTCCATCAGGGATGTCAGTCTGTCCGGACACCCCTGGGGCACTTACTGTGGTGCCTCATGAAGAGTCCATGTGCAAAATAGAATTTTACTGGGCTTTTAATTACAGTGTTTTTAATATTCAATTTAATATTTAAATTGAAATCATCCCACTGTTTTGGCCTGAGACCTCATAGTTGGATTCTCATGAATCAAATACCCATGTGATGTATGTTCACAAGATAAGACTGATGATAGCTGGATAGGAGTGGGCAGAGGAGGGCTCAGGACAGGCACACCGGGTGTGGGGCACAGGGGATATTTCACGTTGGCCCTGGTTATTCCCACTGATGAACTTCCAGGTCATAACACCCATCTTCCTGTTTCAGGGTCAGCTCCTGGAGCTCTTCTTGTTCATTAACCCCGCATGTCCTCAGTGTGGCATCCATGCCATTCAGGACCCTCCCAGACTAGGTCTGTGGAGAAGGTGAGAGGCAGGGAAACAAGGTTTCGTTGGAGCAGCTGGCTGGTGTGGGTGTCCCTAGTACCAGCTCCTACTTCTCCAAGTCCAGGGCATTCCTGTGGCCACCTCCCAGCTCATCACCTTGGGCACAGACATTCTGGGCCCTGTGGGGGAGGACCGTTCACCTACTGGAAGTCAGGCTGATCACTCTGTGCCCGGCTCGCCTGGAGCATTCCTCTTTGCAGAGGAGATGGCCACTGATTGATTGAGTTCCAGACAGAGCTGTTAGAGATAACAATGAAGTCAGAGGAGCTGCCCCTGCCTAATGAAGTGGGCAGGGCTGCGGCCTGGGACTGTGGGGCAGCAGTAATGAAAAGGCAGAGACAGACCACCCTGGGTGCCCAAGACCTCCTCCCTTGCCTGGACTTGGCCAGTTGTCCATCTGTGCATGGGGCGAGGTGTAAAGCTCATTCCCTGGACCCAGGCACTGCAGAGACTGATGTGTTGGGGCTGGAACAAGGGGTCCTGGAGGGCCACGTGGCTTCAGGCCCACTCATACTTTCATAACATGCACAGAGCAGTGTGTGCGAGCACCCATGATGATGAGAGTGAATATTATGGCAGCTGGGGCCATCTGCATGGCCTCCCCGGGACTCCTAAACACAGCACGTACATTATTTCCTGGAGTGTATACATTTCTGAGGCCTGTTGTCCCCAGCAAAGGGTTTGGAGAGACTTGTATTTGCATTTCAGTTCGAGGAGGGGTAGGGATTAGGAGGAGTTTGTGGTTTGTTTGCTCTCACCCTGCTCTAGTCATGCACACTTGAGTTTTCTTTTCTTTCTTTCTTTCTTTCTTTCTTTCTTTCTTTCTTTCTTTCTTTCTTTTTTTTTTTTTTTTTTTGTGAGGTTGACTTACTCTAAGTTCAAATTCAAAAGCTCATCAACATTTGGTGGTCAGTATTTTGCCTTCTCTGGGCCAGGAACTGGCTTGGTACAGTATAAAAAGGTGGGGTGGAGGGGCACTCTGCTGGCCTCATCACAGCTGGTTGGTCTCAGGTGGGATACTCTGGGTGACCTCTGGGTCCCTTGCTCTGTAGAGGAGACTTGGGAGATGCTTTTCCATGACCTTTGGATTCCTTGGGAAAAGACTTTGAGCAAAGTCGGTCCCTAGGAGGAATTGTTCATTCAGTGTCGTGTGTGTTTATCTCCCTTTACTGCTCTGAAGTTAGGGATTCAATTTCAACTCCTTTCAAGATTAGTTACCTTTGGAATTTTGCCATGCATACTTAGCAAAGTCTAAAGTTAATCAATAACTTAGTCCAGTTTCCTAATTCTAGTTGTACAAATGTAAGCCTGTCATTGAAGATTTTGTGCTTACAAAGTAAGAAGTAATTAGGGATTTTATACTTCAAAGGTCTTAAAAAGTCTCAGAAAGGACTTTGTCTCCTCTCTTCTGACATGGAAGTCTTCACTCTCTGTGCTGGGGCCTGTTCTGAGCGGGACATTTGGCTTCTGGGGGTGTCCCTGCATCCTGGGCAGCTCCCATCATGCCTCCCCTCCAGGCTGCAGTGGGTAGTCCTGGCTTGTCCTCTTCCAGAGCTCCTTGGAACCCCCTTTAGCATTGGCCTTCTCTTTTCTTTTCTTTTCTGAAAGCAGCATTTTCCTAGGCAGGTTTCTGCACACCTCCCTACCCAGGACCTGGCTAGCTGCAGCTGGCACATGCAGACAGTCACACAGCAGAATGTTTTAATGCTGTGCAGGTTGCCCTCCTGACACAGGTGGGTCTGCAGAAGGCTAGTTACAGCTGCAGGTGTTGAGGCTGTCACTAGCATTTATTCTAGTATACCTTGAAACAGCTGATCTGTTAGGGGAAGCACCAGCAAGTCAGCCTAAAGCACGCCAGCACAATAGCACGTCTGGCCCTTGGGAGGAATGGGGCCATTCTGCTCTGCTAGCCAGCTTCCCAGCATCTAGGGGAAGAGTGAAAACCCAGCTATGTGTCTAGGGCTCTGCCCCAGCTCTGTGCCCGTGTTCTTACATTGCCAAAGAGTGGGGTGTCTGGGAGAGGCCAGTGCCAGCTCTTGCCCAAGCCCCAGTTGGGGAGTCTGGAGTCAGCAGCTAGATTCACCACTAGATGGGTCCCGGGAGAAAGTTGTGGCCAACTCTATCAGGCACAGAGGTTGGAGGAAGAAAGCGAGGGAGGAGGCGGTGCCCAGAGTAGGTGGCGGTGGCTGAGTCCAGTCCCAGAGATGAGGCTGGGCTCCTGAAGGCAGAGGGCAGGGGCGGTTCTCCTTACAAGGCTGATAATAGCAGCTCTTCGATTTGTTTTTTAATTGAGATATTCACATATAAAACTCACCACATAAAATTCAGTGGTTTATAGTGTTCACAGGATTCTGTAACCGTCACCATTATTAAGCTCCAAAATATTCTGATTACCCTGAGAAGAAACTCCTACCCATTAGCAGTTACTCCCTAGGTCTGCTCCCAGACTGGGTCACTGCTCTTACTGCAAGTTGCTAGCAGAACGGACTTGGGCAGAAGTCACAGAGTCCAGGAGCCTCAGGGCTGGAATGTGGTGGAGACAGGGAGCTCAGGCCCTAGTGACAGGCACTTGCTGGCTGTGTGATTTTGGGAAGATGCTTAACCTCTCTGTGCTTTGGTCGTTGTCTGCTGTTAACTGGGGCTGGGAACTACCTATTTCCCACCTCACTGGGTTGTTTAATAAGATAAAATGAAATGCTAAGTAATAATAGCTATGCCTGCTTGTTAAGATCTTTTTGCATTATTCTTATTTAATCCTGATTAATCCTGGGAGATATGAGTTATTATTGTCCCTGTCTAATACCTAAGGAAGACCAAGCACCAGAGAAGTTGAGTAACTTGTTCAAGATTGCACCACTATGAATGAGGTTTTAGTTGCAAAGCATGTAAAACTCGACTCTGTCTTGTTTACAGAGAAGGGAAATTATGACCAGAAAAGGAAGTCCAGGGGCCCGGCAGGCTGACTCGGCAGCTCATGGACCCCATCAAGGATGGAGGGAGGTTCCTTTGGTGGTGGTTGCATCTGTGTGCTGGTGGCAAGATGGCAGCTGCAGGTGTGGCCTCATGCCCCTGGGCGTCCACCCTCTTCTCAGTGCCCTCTCTTAAGCCCCAGGCTGACTTTTCATGTCCCATTGGCCAGGACTGTGAGTCACAAACCCACTCCCACAGCCCTCATTGGCAGCAGGAGGGGGCTCACCATTATTGGCTTAGATTACTTGGGATCTACCCCAAATGTAAAAACTGGGGTTTAGTTAAGAAGTGGGAAATGGATTTTGAGTGGACACAGTTGTATCTTGGCAGTATCTACCAAGACTAGCAGGGACCTGAGCCGAGGTCTGAAACAGCCCTCTGAGGTCCGTAGCTGACACTCAGCCTCTACAAAACCCGGCCACATAGCAGGTGCTCAGTGAATCTCGTGTCAATGCATAAATTCTACTTCTCACCCCGCACCCCTGAGTTTATCTGACCTTCTGTTGCTCTTCTATACTCAGTTAAGTGGTTACCAGGCCTCTGCTTGAGCTTTACTTGTGGGGAACTTAGTACCTTACCCAGGATTTTCTTCCCTTTGTTGACCATTAAGTGCCACGGCTACTTTTTGGGTGAATTACAAAAAAATCTGCTTTAGGTGCAAAAATTACAAAAAAAGTGGGCTCACACTAAACAATGCAGCCCTTCATGGCTTGGAATGATGCCTTTGTGTTAAGAACATAGCATGCTTACCTCTGGGTAGATAGATGTTCTGTAAGGTTGGTACCTTTGTGCAGTACACAAACTGCACAACTGTTTTGGGATATCTCTTCCATTAAGGAATTCTGCAGAGGGGTTTTTAATGGGCTTGAGCCTCTGACCTCCTGGGCACTGGCAGAGAGTAGACAGTTTGTGCCCAAGTTACTCAGGTTTGGAGTGTGTGGTGGCAAAGGGCTCCCCTTCCTTCCTAGAGATGGTGCATCTCCCTCTCGTGAGAGAGTTCAGCTGGGGAAGGGTGAACCTTCACCTTCTGGACCCTTACCTCCTTTTCCCTCTCCCCTCCCCAGGGACAGGTGGTGAGTGTTTGGGATGTGAAAGATTCTGCTTGGGGGAAACCAGCTGGCCTGGAATGGCCTTGGCCCTTTCTTTAGCCTCGGTCCAGGCAGCACTAGCTCTGCCATGGTCTCTGAAGACTGAACTATCACAAGGCTGTTTATGATAAAATTGGGGAAGTCTAAACCCTGGGCTTCCAGAGATCCAGGCAGGTGGAATCTTGTCCTTGAAGCTGGAGAGAATCTTTACATTGACCCAATGAGTTTTAGAACGGAGACTGGGCTTCCCTGTAGAATTTAGGAAGGCTCAAGTTGTGGTCATGTGGCCTCCCAAGTTCTTTTAGGTTGTTCAGAAAGTTCCATGGGTGGGCAGACAGCTTGGGTGGGAAACTGGGGGCAGAGGGTCTCCTTTACCCTGGCAGCACTGGCCCTCATGTTTCCTATCGCTAAGTTTTACTGAAGGCTCCATTTGCCAAGTCTCTGGTGGAAATTTTGAGCTTTGATTAACAAGCCCAGAGAAGCAAAATGTAAAGGAAATGCATTTGCTGACATTGTGCAAAGGTGGGGGCTCTGCTTGTCTTGTGGTGTAAGCACACGGTATTTTCTTCAGCAGCAGTCGGAACGATTTTATAATAATTATATTAATGATAATATTAAATAACATCCCTAATGTATTGGGTGCTTGCCATGAGCCGGGTTTTACAGATATTAAGTAGCTCACCCAGTGGCATGCATGTAGGATGTGGTCATGGTGGGGTTTAAACTCAGGCTTTCCCGACTTTGAACTAGTACCTCTGAAGTCTGTCTTACTGCTGTGTGCCTCCCCTACCTGGATCTTCGGATTTGAGGGAGAATTATGGCTTTTGAAACAGAGCTTCGCAGACCAAAGAAGAATACGCCACATAGTCTCATGAGCCTGCAGACAGACACAGGCAGGAGCTGCCCTGCGATGGTGACTTCTGATTTCCTCCAGCTGTTTGCTCATCTGTGAAATGGGGATTTACATTCACGCCTGTCTCGTAGTTAGAGACGATGCCTTGGTGGCACTGGGCATGTGCAGGCATGCAGGCTTGGAGTTGGAGAGCTCTCAGTCCACCTGGGTGGCATCCTAAGGATGCAGGCTTCTTTTCTATGCTTCTAGGCTTCATTTTGTCATTTTGTCAGCAACCTTCTTTACAGGGCAGGATCCCATGAGCTACGCCTGTAAGGCTCTTGTCTTGCAGGAAATATACATCCAGTGAGTGCCGACTATGATAGGTTTCCTGATAGAGTTCTGGGTTTGTACATTTCTATCGGTTTTGAATTAATAATTTGTTTGAATAAACTTGCAAAAGACCCTAAAAGTAAACAAAAAAAATGCATGAATATCTGACCCCATGAAAGAGTTTGGAAAATGGTGGGTGGAGGCTGGTGTTTATTTCAGAGTTTCTCATGTATTGGCTCTTGTGTTCATTGATACATAGTGATGGGGACCCTGAGAATACCAGTTCTCATTTCATGGAGGCAGAAGCGGGTGCAGAGGTGAGGCAGTGTCCCCAGGCTCACAAGCATCCACATCTCCACGTTATTCATCCTCCTCAGGAGTTATTTTGTTTTCCTTCTGCTCCTCTTAAGAGCAGCAGCCAAGAGCCAACTCTGGCTTTGCTCCTATTCTGAAGCTGTCCTGGTTCTAGGAGATGTGCCCCTTGGCCTACAGCCCTCATGTGACTGCCTGGCCTTCCCCCTCCACTCATCCCAAGGCTAAGGTCAACCTGGGGCCTGAGCATAGAGAACCCAGTACCTTTGCCCCCAACAGGAACACACACACACACACACACACACCCCCTTTGGGAGGACTCAGAGCTTGAGCTTGTAGTATAAAGGGTCACAGGGTGGCATCTGACATCAGCATTTCAGCTTGCCATTCCCTACTGGGGTGAGAACCATGGGAAGATGCCAAGGCTGTTACATCTTGCCCCTCCCATATGGCGTTGGGATCCAGCAAGTCTGAAAGACAAAGCAAAATGGGCATGCCAGAGTCCTTTAAGTGATCCTGCCTCTCTGCAGGGGCAGGCCCAGCTGTTTCTCAGACATGGAGGGGCCCCGTAGTAGATGGAGGACACCCCTCTGCCTCCTCTGAGGCCCTGGGTTCATAGAGCAGCTACAAAGTCTAGGAGCTGTTGGCTGATGACCAGAGGGCCCTGTACCTGAGACCCGGCTGGAACCCATCTCAGAGTGGGAGCCACTCAGCTGGTGGCTGTTCATCTGTTTTGTGATCTGCGAGGGGCTGGTGGGTGCCTGCTGAAATTCTAACTCCTCTAAGGGCTGTTAAGTCTACTGGGCCCACCAGCCTCAGCCCCAGAGAAGCCTGCTGAATGGAAACCCCCCACCCACCCTGAGACCCAGGTCCAAAACCTTCCCAAGCTTTCAAAGTCCACATGTGTATGTTTCAGTGAACTCATATCCTTATTGGTTTGTTCATTCATCGGCCAAATATGTGTGGAGCACCTACCACCTATGGGCTAGGTGCTCTAATGGATAGCAGAAGAATAACACTGGCCTGTCCTCCTGGAGCTTCTATGTAACTGGCACATTCAAATCACAATTATTTTACTATGGAAAGTTTTTTTTTTTTTTTTTTTGAGACGGAGTTTCACTCTTGTCACCCAGACTGGAGTGCCATGGTGCAATCTCAGCTCACCGCAACCTCTGCCTCCTGGGTTCAGGCAATTCTCCTGCCTCAGCCTCCTGAGTAGCTGGGATTACAGGCACACGCCACCATGCCCAGCTAATTTTTTTGTATTTTTAGTAGAGACGGGGTTTCACCATGTTGACCAGGATGGTCTCGATCTCTTGACCTCGTGATCCACCCGCCTCGGCCTCCCAAAGTGCTGGGATTACAGGCTTGAGCCACCGCACCCGGCCCTGGAAAGTTTTAAACATAGAAAAGCAGAGCGAATATTGTATTGAAGCCTCATGAATCTGTCACCAGGTTTAGTCATTATTAACTTGTGGCCAACCTTGTTTAATCCCCGCCCCTCCCCTCTCCTGTTATTCTGGTGCAGATCCCAGAAATCCTATTGTTTCATCTGTACACATTTGAGAATGTAGCCCTAGAGGACAAGGGCTCTTTTAAAAATTGTGTAACTATACTATTAATAATCAATCATTTTTTAGTATTACCAATATCTGGTCAGTGTTTACATTTCTAATTGTCTCAAAATATAAAATGTTTTGATTGTTTGAATTGTCTCAAAATATAAAATGTTTGATTGTTTGAATGGATGGACTAAAGGTCCTTCCATTGCATTTATTGAAGTTGATGTGTGTTTTAAGTCTCTTCTAAGCTGTCGCAGTTGGTCTCTGGGGCAGTCAGGATAGCCTGGAAACTCATTATAAATGCAAATTGTCAGCCAGCCTCAGACTTACTGGATGAGAAACTGTGGGAGTGAGACCATTAATCTGTGCTTTAACAAGCCCTCTGGGGTTCTGATGCACAGCAGAGTTGAGACCCTCTGGTCCATAGGTTTTCCCTCCTTTCCTGTATATTTTTCTTGTGATTGTCTCTGGGAGAAAGCTGTCTCTCTTGTCGAGTTTCCCCTGTCTGGGTTTTGCCAGTTGATCCCCGATGCACAAGATTCTCTCTCATCTGCACTGAGGGAGCTGAGAAGCCTTTTCTCTCTCAAACAGAGGGCGCTGACTTTTAAAGGTAGAAGTCCCTGAAGGGTGATGCAGAATTTGCCTGCTGTTGAAGCAGGATGCACTCTAGGTAGGGAACAGCATGTGCAGTGCCCAGGGGCCGGATAAACACAGAGATTCCAAGGTCTGTGGATAGGTTTGGTATGGCCAGGGATGTGAAACAGTAGAGAGATAAGAGGCTGCAGAGGGAGATGGGGTGGACTTGGAAGAGCCTGGGTGTCAGTAGTGTGCTGGACTTTATCCCATGGGGGATAGGCATCAGGGGAAGACCCTGACGAGGTTGAGTTAGGTGAGCAGACCTCGATTTTAACCAGATGGATTTGACTGCAGAGTGAGTGTGGCTTGGAGGGGGTAGGCCCAGGGCAGGGAAACTGAAAGTTCAGGAGGATCTGGACGAAGGCTGTAGCGGTGACTTAGCAGACAGAGTGAATGTGAGAGATGCTAATTAGAAGGAATGACAGGGTCTGGTGGTAGAATGAACAGGGAGGAAGTCTAGGGACTCTCCTATCTGGGAGCAGTGGTGTTTTTCCTGGCAAAAGGGGTGTTTGAGGAGAGCGGCAGATCTGGGGGTTTGAAAGCTGACCACACATCGTTGGAGGTCATTCAGCATGGCATGTATATTACTAATATCTGAACTCAAGGGAGTTGATGCCTCAGTTGGGAAAGAACTCACTGGCTCTCTTGGTCTATGGTTAGTCACCGAGTCCACTTTTGGATACACATAAAAAATCCATCCATCCATCTCTCCATCTAGCCATCCATCCACCCACCCACCCATCCACCATCCATCCACCCACCCATCCACCAAACCATCCATCCATCCACCCATCCACCCACCCACCCATCTATCCATCCATTCATCCATCCATCCATCCATCCATCCATCCATCCATCCACCCAGCCACCCACCCATCCATCCAACATTGTTTGAGTGCTTGTGACATGTCAGGAGCTAAGGAATTAGACATGAAGTAAGACATGGCCCTACCCCAACAAGCAGTGTTCATGGGAGAGAAGCCAGGTGGACAGAAACATCTTAGTACCATGTGTAGGGTGATCTGGTGGAGCCTCTCCAAATGCTGGATGCTGGAGGGCAGGGCTGCAAGGTTTCTGAGTGTAATTCATGAAAATTAGTAGTAAAACTGTTGGTCAAGCAGGTATGTCTTCCCCTCTCCCAGCAATTGCCTGGACATGTAGAGACACAGTTGGAGGCCCACGAACCAGTGCATGAACCTGCCGTTAGGAGAGAGACTGTGAACCACATCCACTGACAGTCTAGGATTGCAGGGACTCAGGGATTTTCCTGTCTCTGGGAAAACCCAGCTGCCCT